ACCAACTTTTGGTTTTGTTGATTCTTTCTATTGTTTTTCTGTTCTCTATTTCATTTATTTCTGCTCTGATCTTTACTATTTCCTCTCTTCTGGTGGTTGTGGGCTTTTTTTGCTGTTCTCTTTCTATTTGTTTGAGTTCTGTAGTTAATGTTGCTTTTACTATCTTGATTAAATATCATGACTGCTACCATTATAAAATCTCCCATTTCATTCTATGGTTAAAGCTGGAACAGATATATATACATGGTCATCTGGTTTCCATATTTAGCATGTAAGGAAACTGAGGCCTAAAGAAGCCAAAATAACCCAGCTTGCTAACAGCAGAGCCATAATGAAAATATGGTCTCCTGATTCTTATTCCTCTGTTGTTAGTAATAATACTGACAGTTGTAATTATTAGAATATTAGATATGCCTACACATTTGCTTTTCAAATAAGTTGGTATCATATGCCCAAAGAACACTGTATTACATTGCTGTATAGCTTGCCCCTTAAATGTCTTTGTGATCCTACTGGAAATAAATTTCAAAGGCAGTTATATTAGGTAACCATATAAAATTGCTGTTTTTGTAGGTCAAAAATGGCAGGCAGTTTTATTTGGTTCAACCTAGTGACTATTAGATTCAACCAAATAAAACTAGTAAGGAGCCCTGGTGGCATAGTAGTTAAGAGCTTGGCTGCTAACGAAAAAGGTCAGCAGTTCAAATCCATCAGCTGCTCCTTGGAAACCCTATGGGGCAGTTCTTCTCTGTCCTACAGGGTCTGACTATGAGTCGGCACCAACTTGATGGCACCTAACAATAGCAACTAGTAGACTAGTAGACTTTTTCCTTTACAGTTTTTTTTTTTTTTTCTTAAGACAGAAATCCACATCAAATGATTGCTTGTGGTGGTGGTGGTATTGGCCATTATTATTTTGATAATTCTAACTTCCTTTTGTCCATTCGTTTATGGATTATATAATAAATGATACTACAGAGATGGGGAAGCCCCACAGCTATTTTAGTACCATGTTCTCCTCATCATCTCGTAGCTCAAATCCAATACTGGTGACCACATTTATTAAAGTTAGACTTTACATCACTGCTCATAGAAATTAATAAAATTCAAAATAGAAACTATGTTGTTAGTGGCTTGTCACATTTTGTTTCTTTTGGCTAGATGTCCCAGTGTAACTAGGTTTCAGTTTGCTCATCTCCACATATAGTTCACCTCTCCTAAAGGTGTTTGGGGCTACAGTATTTTTGATGTAGGAATGTTTGACGTTTTGAGTATTAACCATTACTCTTTATTTATTTGGTAGTTCTGAGTTCCTATAATGCTCTTGGAATGATGTTTTTACTAATTTGGAAGTTTAAAATCATGCAGATATGTATTTTTCTGCTCATTCTTTAGCCACAGTAAACATAACCCACTCTCTACTCTTAGCATGCCAGTCAAAATCAGATAGAATATAGCACTTTAACTTTCTTTGATGATCAGATAAATCTGATCTTTAAGTCTAAAATGTGATAGGGAATGAAACTTCTCCCTGACTCCATAATCATCTTCAGAAGTGATTTCCACAGGGAAGACTTGCTCCGGATGAGGGCCAAGTGTCTGAAGCAGAGAGATGCATCACTTTGAACAGTATGCTCCTGCAGTGTCTGATGTGGGTACTGTAAGAGTTCAGCACCCCCCACAGATACCCATTTAATACAACAGTCTGCGAAGCCATGGGAACAAAGAACTATTGTTAAATACCTTGAAGTATTTTTAGATTTGTAAGTTGGTAATTAATTTTAACATAAATATAAAGCAGTATAAATACTGTATAGAATTCTTGAGTGATGCCATGTACTGATTCCTTTTCTGTTCATTCTCACCTTTCCTGGTGAGTTGGCTTTGTAGTTCTCAGGGAGGGTGCGGGAGTTCTGTATTCCTCTTAAAGAGCCATTTTGCACTCCTTAATTGGAACAAGTGAGGAGATGTACACTTCATGCTATTAATAAAATGTACTATGGAGGTATTTATAAATTATGGAGTTGTTTTCTTACAGCATAAACGTCATTGTTATTTGGAAACTTAAATCGAAATTTCTTGCCTAATCTTTTGGACCTTTGAGGGTTAAGCTAATTACGCCTTACATTTATAGGTGAACTTCCATATTTACAGAAAAAACAAAAAACTTCGGTTCTCCTTAAGGTATTTTATGCTAATTATGCTGTCACTTCATTTTCCTTTCCTTTGGTCTTTTAGTCTTTTAGTACAGAAAAGAGGTAGTATCCTTTTTATGAGAAGATGATTCAAGATAGTCTCTGGAAATGAAAGTGTCCTAACCAACAGTGGACACTTTAAAAAAAGTCCCCTTTGAGACCTGGCTCAGCCACTTGGCTTATCAAGTGACTTGTTTCATGCCTGTTGAATGGGGGTAATAATCGTTTGCAGGGATAGCATTTGGCCCATTGTACAGCCCAGCATATGTGAGCCATTATCTGTGGAGGAAGAGGATTACTATAGAGAAATCATATTTTGAATGTCAGTATTGCCTAAGAATTTGTGTATAGAAGCTTTATAAATATGCTGTCAGTACTAAAACATTTTCTTGGAATTGCCTTGAAAGCGATTTTAAATCATTCAAGAAGAATTAGTCTCATTAATTTATAGTCACACTTGGCTTTTAACATCAAATGTTACTACTACTCTCCATGGCTAGATTTGCCTTTCATGGCCTGTGGCTCGTCCTAATTCACTCCCAAAGGGTAAGGACTTGGCACCACTATTGATTTTCAAAGGAATGTGTGTGTTCCGTTGTCCTAGAGATTGATTCCAAAAGCAGAGTTTCAGAACTGTTTAGTATGATAGTAGTAATGTTGACATTTGTGTGTAATCTCCCCATGTATTCATCTGCCTTACAGGAATTTGTGCCTTCTGGTCTATTTTTTAAAAAATCTTATGACTTCATAACTATACCTCAAGGAATGAGTAAATAAATACTTGAACTAAATTCTTCAAGCTTAGTCTCCTTCCAAGTGAGAGAGAAAAATCTCTAATACAACAGAGAAGATGCAGAGGCCAGTTTATGCTGAGGGTTAGTTGCAGGTCTGGTGTGGTGTTTGTGACTTTTAAGAGGAAAAAACTTTTGTGCACATTATTCCATGATTCATTGTAAGGTACTTTGGTGACTAGTAGAAAAAAAGAACACCAAATACTAAAATGTGTAATGAGAAAGACATCACAGCAAGTGAACAGAAACTTTTGAGACAATTTTGTTTAATGTGATAGTCATTCAACCAGCCTTGAGGTGAGGAGGTGGATTTGCTGTGTGTGTTTAGCATCATTGTTGTACCTGCTCACACATCACTGTACTATCAGGCCTGGGTGTAGAATGAAAAGCTGAGCATGTTTCACGTGACAGGAAGCGTATATGAAGCTATGTAATACATGCAAATATTTGCACCTTGAAAGTAACTGTATGGGTTCTTAGTTGTCTTTTTGCATCCCCCCTTGGTAACAAGTGGGCACTTTGAGCTGGATGTTGTCAAACCATTTTCTGTCCTTTAAGTGTGAAAGTTTCCCAGCATAAAAATTAATTTGTTAAAATAAAAATTGGAACCCCTACAGAAGAAAAGTAGATAATCTGCTATATATTTAAATCTACAATATGTACCACATCTTTTAAAATACTACGTGATCTTGAGGAGGGAACGTGAATTATTAAAAGTTCTATCTAGATTTTAGTTTTCCTTCTTTTCTCCTGCATAATGAATATTTGACTGTTAGATGTAACTGTGCACATAGCTGTAACATATGAAATTTTCCACCTTCTTTGAGTGAGAGGACTTTACTCTCTTGAAAGAAATGTGGTTTTATTTTTAACATTTGAAAAAGTATTCAGTCATGTTTGCTCCTCTTTGATCTTGCTTTCTTTTAAATAATGCTAGTGTGTGGGATCCAGATGAAGGTAATTTAAAAACCAGTTTTACATCCACATAGGCAGACTCAGCCTCTAATTATGCAAATTCATTTAAAACGATTTTCATTTGCAGTAATGGAAAAGCTTTTACTATTTGAGGAAAGCTTTACCTTTTGGGGAATTTTAGGCATCTAATAACTTGTGAATTCAGTCTGATGTTCTGGGTAACTGATATATTAGTTATTTTCTTATTTAAATTTTTGGTTTCTGTATTGGGAGCAAATTTTAGTTAGATGTATTTTTTCTGACTGTTTGCATTCTTACAGTATGTATGTTAGTAGAGAATCTGCTTCTCCTCTGTGTTTGTTCTTACTGCTGATAACTTTTTTTGTTTTTTCTCTTTGGGTTTTCCTTAGCTTGGCCATTGTGTAAGTACTTTGCAAACCTATACTTCAGCTTTATAACTGATGAATCCATAAATTAGGACATATGGATATATTTGATTACTTTTTAACAAATGGCATATGTGTTAGTCTTATGCATATATGCTACAAATTTCATCAGTCAAGAATGTTTGTAAAATAAACAAAATTAAGCACCTAAATGTCACCTCTATTTTCCATTTCCAAAATCAAGTATTTTTACTCCACTTTATAATGATAGAAAGTAGAGATTTTCTTGGAGAAATTTTGTTCCTTAACTGAGAAGTCAGTATCAGCAAGTAATGAAATTTTAAAGACTTACACACTTACGCTTATCTTCTCAAAAGCCAAATTTTTTTCATACTCTGAAAATCAAGTCATGTTTCTCTGTAGTTTTTGGTTAAATTATTTCTTGCTTTAATTTTGGCACAGTCTACATATGCCTTCACTTCTTTAAATATTAGTCAGCTGTGATGTGACCTAAAGCAGTGCTTCTCAAATATTTGTGGTAAAGAACCTACTTTTTTGTTTATTGTTTTTAAACCTGCAATCCATTGTAAACCAATAATTTTGTAAAATACAATGTAAATGAATGGGCTAGAAAAAATTGAAAAGACGTAGAAAATACAGGCCCTCAAGTTTATTAGATTCATCAGACCTAAAAGGATTACTGCTAAGGTTTCTAAAATGTTTCCAGTCAGCATCTGTACTTATTTCATCTCACACCAGTAACAGACTGTTTGCAGACTAGCACCAGCCCATGAAGTGCACTTTGACTAGCAGGGTGCTGGACAAGGTCTAGAGATGAGGAAATGGAATGAGTCAGTGGGGTACTTAGGTCCTTGGGGAGCTCATGAGAAAACAACAAAGGGCAGTAAAGTGAGCCTGTCTGTCACTCTTGACAGGAGCTCTAAAGCCCTTCAGCTATGGTGTTGGTCTTGGTTTCCAGGAAGAAGGTAGACCAGCCTCACCGGGCTGTGACTTCCACTTTGGAGCTGACGTCAGCACCTCAAAGTAATCTGCTGTCACCCTAAAAAGTAGGAAAGGCCAAACTTTAAACACACCAACTGGAATACTCCTGAATGAAGAGCAATCCTGGTGATCTGTGCAAAATTCCACTTATCATACAAGCAGCCACAGAAGGTGGCAGATTTTGGTCCAGGGCATCATCAAAAATAGTGAAATAAGGAGTCTTTAAATACTTATATCAAAATTTGAGCAAGTAGAAAGTAGCAATTTGTATTGTAAATTTGGTAGAAATTTATAGAAGTTTTAGTTCTCCTAAGTAAATAAAGGACCTTCTGTGCTTCTTGACACATAGTAGATTTCCAATAAATGTTAGGTTCTTTTCCTTTATGAAATAGTAAGCTTACTGAGCAAAAGGGCCACAGCTTGGGAAGCTGCATCCTGTGCAACTCCTTTTACATAGTGGGAACTCAACAACATTTACTGAAAGACCTCTAACATTTGTTTTTGGTTTCATAGGAAAAGACAAGAGGTATTGATTTTATAGACCGCCTTTGTATTTGGAGTAATTTAGGCAATAAGAAGAGAATAATAATGTGATCTTAGTTTTGTAATATACAAACTATAATAATAATCATATTTTAGATTTGTCTAACATATTTTTCTTCTGTGGCTCAACAAGTTTGTACAAATCATTTTGTAATCATCTAGTTTAGGGTAAGGGTCCTTCCTGAAATGATAGACATGCACAGTAAGTCTTTAGCGTTCTCCTTTGAGGGAACCCTGGTGGTACAGTAGTTAAGAGCAATGGCTGCTAACTAAAAGGTCAGCAGTTTGAATCCACCAGACACTCCTTGGAAACCCTATGGGACAGTTCTACTCTGTCTTATAGGGTCACTATGAGTCAGAATTGACTAGACGCCAATGGGTTTGGTTTGTTTGTTTTGTTTTGTTTTGTTTTGTTTTTTTTGGTTGGTTTATTGCTAAATGACTGGAGAGTTATACCTTTAAATCTCTAAGGATCTAATAAACAGTAAATGTTTCAAATGTATAAAAGGGATTCATTAGATTTCCAAAAGTCAGAAATGAAGAAAGTTCTTAGGGTTTGACATACACTGTCTTGCTAGTGGTAGACCTGGGTGATCCCCATCTTCTTTATTTCTCTTACTAACAATTTTTGGATTTAATGTTGGATAGTCTGGTATGGGAAACAGCATAAATAACTAGTTATTGGCTCTTTGCCATTGATAATATCTTTTTTGGAGTTGATAAGCTTTCACTTTTTCTTTGATACTAATTTTTTTTAAGACTGTCTCTTCAATTTTTATTTTTTGTGGTTACACCTGTAGCAGGTGAATACTTTATCATGTGTTTGATCTGTGTTTCTTTAGCTGAGATCAGGGGGTGCACAGGTGTTAGAAGGCTGCATTGCTGAAATCCACAACATCACCAGCTTAGACATCTCTGACAATGGTAAGTCAGAAATTAGGAAGAAAGGAAACAGAAATCTTATTTGAAGTAAGTTAGTAGAGGGGAAAAAAATCTTTTAGCCCAAATGAACCAACTCCTTTGATAGAAATCTGTTAATCAATTCTTGACTAATAGGACTTTTGATTTAACAACAAATTTTGTTTATGGAATAATTTTGTGCTGAAGTCTTACTAAATGTATTTCATGCCAAATATGTAGGATCTGTACGAAAAATAAGAGTTCTTGGGTAGTGCAAATTGTTAAGTGCTTGGCTGCTAACCAGAAGGTTGGAGGTTCAAGTCCACCCAGGATAACCTGGGAGAAAGGCCTGACAATCTACTTCTGAAAATAAGCCATTAAAAACCCTCTAGAGCATAGTTCTGCTCTGACACACATGGGTTACCATGAGTTGGAATCAACTCCACCACAACTGGTTATGCAGTAAAATAAGTCAGTCAGGAAAAAAAAATAAATAAATAAAAAAGCATTGATAAAATTAAATAACTGAGTCCAGCTTTTGGAATTCTTAGCAATAATAAAGTCACTCCCTTGTTTTATTCTGAAGCTCATTTCGTTAGCTTCATTTCTGCTGATCATAGAAGCATGTTAGTGTGAACTTTTACATTTGCATAGATAACTTTAACTCCAGTTAGCTACCTGTGAGTAGTATGTTGGAACCTTCTCTCACAGTAAAGGAGAAGAAGTGAAGCTGTCCGCCACTCTTCATTCCCATTTCCTGCTGACTTTGTTTAGCCATTAATTGTGTAAGAGATTGAGATAAGTCTTTGCAGAGAATGAGTTTATCCCTGTGAAACAATAGGAAATGAACAGAGAGCAAAAAAGTTCCTGTCAATATAAAAGAATCCCTAGGTTCCTCATGATGGTACAGTCAGTTAGCCAACTACATCTAACCTTTGCTTAATTGTGTTGCATCTGAGAATTTGTTTATACACCTGGATTTTGATTCTTCACTTACTCTGATTCTTTACAGGTTTAGAATCTGACCTCTCTACCTTAATAGTGTGGCTCAGTAAAAACAGATCAATACAACACCTGGCATTAGGCAAAAATTTTAATAATATGAAATCCAAGTAAGAGTTTTGAATTTTTTTATATGACAATGATGAAAATAACCAGCCTCCTGAAAGCTTTTGATTTGACTCCACTGTCCGCATCTTTAAAATCTCTTTAGAAATCTGACCCCTGTTTTGGACAACTTAGTACAGATGATTCAAGATGAAGAATCAGTAAGTATTATTTTAAAACATTTGACTAAAATATTGTTGCAGTTATTCCTAACTGTTTTTACTGGCATAATGCTGACTTGCTTTGAGATAATTTTATCTAAGTGTGCATATTCTATTCATGTTACTTTTTTTTATAAAAAGGAATAAATATCAATGTTTTAGTAAAGTTATAGAATGTATTAAAAATTTACTTATTCTTCACTTCATTCAACTTATCTCCAATTAAGGGGAAATTGTATATAATAGATTAAAACAAGTATAAATTTACTCTTAAACTCATCTTTAATGAACCTTACTATTTCCTAACTCCAGCTAATCTGCAGGCATGAATTTTTACAATCTAGTTAACTTTACGACCTTATATCATGCTGAGAAACATCATATTGCTAATTTGAATTTCATCTAGTAATTATGCAGAATTAAAAAAGACTAAAAATGTTCCCCATCTTAAATTTCTTCTTGAGGTCTAGTAATCCTCATTATATTTTTATTCCCTTTAATTGCTCCTGACCAAGACTTGATAAGGGTAAAGAAATTTTAGTAGCAAATAGCATCCGATTTTGCTGCCATTGTAAATGCATTTAAAAAAGAAAAAGGTATTTTATGGATAAAGGAAGCGCGCTCTACCATTAATCTCTTTAATTTAGAACTCGAGTGTCACACTTTATCTTCTACTGATGCTGTTTAAGATTTTTGTGCCTTTCCTCTCTCAGTCCTGTTTGGTTGCCAAACTCAGCTTTTTTGGTTCCTAAAATCCTCATCAATATGTATTCCTGCTGTGAAGATTAACATCATTCATGTGTTGTTATAGCTACTTTGGCGCATCATGAGGGTGTTTTCCTATATTAATCATGTGAGATATGCTATATTGAAAAAACAGTATCATTTCTTCTTTTGAACTCATATGGGGTAATAGCAAATTCTATTACAACTGTCAGTTAACTTTTCTGGAAAAGCTAACTGGGGACAGGAGGAATGGGGACTAGAATTTTTTCTCTCGTCCCCTTGCCCACATCATTTTAGGAGTTTCTGAATTGGAGGGCAAGGTCCCTGGGTGGCACAGTCAATTTGCCTTGACTACTAATTGAAAACTTGGTGGTTGGAATCCACCCAGCAACACTACGGAGGAAAGGCCTCGCAGTCTGCTTCCATAAAGATTATAACCAAGGAAACCCTATTGAGTAACTCTACTCTATAACACAGTTACAGAGGGTCGCCATGAGTTGGAATTGATGCAGTGGCAACAGTTTAGTTTTGAAACGGAGGGCAAGAGAAAATTCTGTTCTCCTGCCTCTTTGTTGTCTGGGTATAATTTCCAACCTGTGGGTTAGAAAATGACATTCATTATTATTCAGTGAATTTGAGTACTTCTCTTTGTTCTCATTTGCTAATAATCCCCATATTTTGTTACTTTTACGCTGACTTATTAAAAAATTAGGGGTGTAATTAGAATGTAATTTACACTTTTCAGAATTTATGATGTTTATTTATTAAATTTGATTTTATACCAGTCTGCTTTATTTGGGTTTCTGATTTCCCAGTATTGGCTCAGATTTGAAAAATTGGAAAAGCTAGTAATTGCAGAATCATATTTAATATCCATCTTCAAATACTTGTTTCTTAGTGCATATTTCAGGAAAAGTATTTTTATTAATTTAATATTTTACTTATATGTGAGGATCTTCAAACTCTGTTTCTATAGTTTTGAAATTCTCCTGCTTAAAGATCCTCTTGATATTTAAAACATGTCTTAAAACATATTTGGGGAAGATAAAGTTTGCTATGTAATGTGATTTCTCTCAAGTTCTAAGTTTGAATGGTGTGCTGCTAATAATGCCGTAAGGTGAGAAGCTTTTTTTGTTCATGTCACTGAAAAATAGGTGACTTTTTCAAAAAGCAATTATCTATTTTTTCCTACTTCTGAATCAGTAATGTGCAAAACAATTTGAAATGATTAGGAGTTGCATCTTGTGATGACAAAAAATCCACCAATAACTGGCACAATTGGGCTCATTTAAAAATTTTTTTAAGGATTTTAAATATGTAAAAGTAATCTGATGTTGTGTTTGTAGAGCTTGTTCTTTGACAGCCCATGGAATACTTTATTTGCCCAGTATTGCATATTCCATTGTGTGTGGAAAATCTGGACACACGTGGACTCAGGTGTCACCTTCAGGTGTAGACAATTGTTGTCAGGCTGCCGTGCCCAGAGTCATGGGACAGTAACATTGAGGGGCCGTGGTGACAGGGAATCTTGTTTTGAAGTATTACATACAAGCCCATGTTGTAACCAGCAGGACAGAATGTGTTTCTGTTGGGAGTGCCTATAGGAAGGAGACAGATTCTCGGATTAAGGATGTTCAGCTGTGAGAAGAAATAGTTAAGATTTCAAACAGTCATGTTACAGGAAGTGCAGTAAATCAAGAAGGGATACCCTTATAAATATGCATGCAATTCAGGCTGTTCTGTTCATGTTAATGACTCTGCCTATTATTTTTAAGTGTTAACTGTGGTGTATTAGAATTTGAATATAGTATGGAATTGTTGCTCGCTAGCTTGTGGAGTTGGCAGTTTCCCAGTATGAGGAAGAAACTGTAATATATCATTCTTATAGTAGTTGAAGAGAGATTATTGAAGTGATGAGAGATGTGATTACAGTGTTTTATTAAAGCAATATTGTATTTGTTTTGGTTTAAATATAAAGTTTCCTGAGTCAGAAACATTTTTAGTTAAACTTTGTAGATTTTACATAAGTGTAGGATCTCAAAGAAAGTTTAAAGCAGCCTCTTGAGACATAAGCAGTCTTTTGGCTGAGGTTTTAATTGTCTTAACATTTGCCACGTCATTTAACTTTTAAAAATTTGATTCTAATTCATACTAATCTTACCTTTCTTTTATTGTCCTAAACACATAGGTAGCACAACATTTGCCAATTCAGCATTTTTCACTTGTACAATACAGTGGAACCAATGCTGTCAATCATGTTGTGCAACCATCACTGACTTCCATTGCTTATTTTCCTTAATTTTACCATAAGCTGTATTAAGATAGGGAAACTCAATCAAGTTTGGACTATTTCACTTGATATAACTATAACTAAACCCATAATGCTGCTTTGTTGATATCAGAGTCTTGAAACCATCAACACCTTCATCCTGTCTCCTGTGGCTTTTTTGTAGATCACCTTTCACAGGGTGTTTCTTTAGAAGTCAGTGTTCATTGATCGAGTGGGCAGAGAACACTCCTGGTTGTGTTTGTGGGCCATTGTGCAGACTACCCAGGCACATATTCAGAGCTCCAGTCGCACAGGCCACCAAGGAACCTGGTCACAGATGATCTTAGGAGCTGCTTCCAGCATCCACTGCCCTGCGGTGTTGGAGCTGCCTGTGAAATAAACATATAGAATTGTTGAGTGTGGCTAGACCAAATGTAGACCACCCCAAACTAATCCACATAGCCAAAACCCCCAGGAAAGATTGCATTCTGACTTTTAGAGCCACATTGCTTTAAGCCCAGGAATTCTCACCCACTTCATTAATTCAGTTATGGTTTAAAGCAATAATCCTAAACTCAAAAGCCAACGGGGCTCCAAGGCAACATAAACAAGTAAAGTGAGCTGGGTGTAAGACAATACCAAAAACAAAAAACCCAAACCCATTGCCTCAAGTTGATTCCGACTCATAGCGACCCTATAGGACAGAGTAGAACTGCCCTATGGGGTTTCAAGGAGCAGCTGGTGGATTCCAACTGCTGACCTCTTGGTTAGCAGCCTGAGCTCTTAACCAGTGTGCCACCAGGGCTCCATAAGACATTAGGAATCTCTATTAATGTTTTTTGTTTTCCCCAGATACTATGCAGGCCAAAAAAAAAAAAAACCCCAAACCCATTGCCATTGATTCAATCTCAACTCATAGTGACACTATAAGACAGAGTAGAGCTGCCCCATAGAGTTTCCAAGGCTGTAAATCTTTATAGAATCAGACTGCTACGTCTTTCTCCTGAGGAGTGGCTGGTGAGTTTGAACTGCTGACCTTTCTGTCAGCTTTAAACACGGCTCCAATAGGGCTCCTTGCCTGCATCCAGTGGCTTTAAATCTCTAGCTTAAATGGACAGTGAGTGGGCTGATTTAGATTTATCATTGAGGTCATATATGAAGGAATTTCATAGTTCATACCAATTTGATTTTTTAAAAAAAAATTATAGGTGTGTTTTCTAGTTGACACTTATAAGATAAAGCTAAGGGAGTTGTGGTTAAAAAAAAAAAAGATCTAGGATAAGCTAATAAAGGCAATGTAATATAGTGGTTAAGAGTGTGAAATCTGGAATAAGACCAGGGTGTGAATCCCAGTTCATTTACTTTAGAACTGTGTATCCTTTGGCGAGTCACTCACCCTCTCTGTGCCTCAGTTTTTCGTTTGGGAAATGGGGATAATAATAGCACCCATATATTGAGTTACTGGGAGGATAAATGAATAAATACCATAAAAAGATGGAACAGTGACTAAACATAGTAAGTATTCAATAAATGTTAACAATCGTTAATCTTATCTGGTTTTCTTTTTGCATTTGTCCTCTGAGTATTTTCAAGTATCATGTTACCTTGTATAAAAATAAAATGGGTAAGAATGGACAATGAAGTCATTACTGCAGCTAAGAAATTTTTGTGCAGTATTTTTATTTATCTGGTACTGTCCTCTAACAGGAGTACCTGGGTAGTGCAAATGGGTTAATGCTTGGCTGCTAATCAAATGAATGGCAGTTTGAGTCCACCTAGAGGCTTCTCAGAAGGAAGGCCTGGTGATCTACTTCTGAAATAGCAGCCACTGAAAACCCTATAGAGCACAGTTCTGCTTTGACACACATGGTGTCACCCTGAGTTGGAATCGACTTGAAGGCAACAGTATTTTTTTTATCCTCCAAAGGGGCTGGCATCTGCCACCCTAAGTGTCTTTCCATTGCTTGCCTGAGAAGAGAAGTGGCAGATGTTGAACGTTAAAACGGAAGTTCTCCAAGTTTGACGCCAAAGGTTCATTTTGTGCCCAAACCTTCAGGTCTTATTCATCAGTGTCTTTTAGCCAGCTGCTGCAAAACCAGACACTTCGTGCATTGAGTACATCCCCTTATAATTGTCCTTTGAGATGGGTTGTTGAGGGTGGTTGCTGCTTTGATGAGACTGTTTTGAGTGCTGCATGTTTTTCACTCGATAGCCGCTGCAGTCGTTGTCCCTGGCAGACTCGAAGCTCAAGACCGAGGTCACCATTATAATCAATGCCCTGGGAAGCAACACCTCCCTCACCAAAGTGGACATCAGTGGAAATGGGATGGGGGACATGGGAGCAAAGATGCTGGCGAAAGCACTGCAGATCAACACCAAGCTTAGGTATGCAGGAGTGACCCTAGGTCCTTCCTTCTGAGAAGAGCTTTGGCAAAGGTTCTATCAATAAGCATTGGAGAGCTGGCTAATGTAGTGGGCTGGGAGGGGGACTGGGTTTCCCCTGAGGCAACTTGGAAGAAGAAGAGACAATTTCACGTCTTTTTTCAAAATATGGGGGAGGGTGTTCCCAAATTTAGACACTGCGATCTTCAGGCTGCTGTCTTAAATATTTCCGTTGTGAGGTAAAACCTGATTCTCTGTGAACTAGATGCTGTTTCCTACTTCAGATCAGTGTGGACAGCTGACGAGTGTGTGGGCGAAGCCAGTGTTTTGTAGAGTTGTGTAGGCAGCACCATATGAGCAGCGCTGGCTGGTGTGAAATAATAACAGGAGTGGCTTGGTTGTGAGCCCAAAGCCTTATCTTCCCCTTGCCACCCTTGCCACCCTTGCCGCTACAAAGACTTAAAACCCAGGTGGGTGCAAGAAGTCCAGTGGGTCAAAGGCAAGTTCTTACTGACCAGCCATCTGGAGAGCGAAGTGTAAATTCGCATTGCTCCCCAAGGGCTCTTTCCTGATGTTTTCCTTGCTCTTCGGCATAAGACAGAGTCTGAATCTTCTGTGTAAACTGAAGCCAAAAGCCAAAAATTGCAGCAGTTTCTTTGAAGGTCAGCATGTATGTAAAGAAGGTCAACAAGATTAGGAAAGGAAAGCAATAGAGGTTGTAAGACTGGAATCATCCCCACAAGTAAAAGCCATTTCATGTGTTGGGGTGAACTGGCAAGTGCTAAAATACCTTTGAGGTGTATATATACTGGAGATAAAATAACACTTTTCTTCAGAATTGGTTCTGTGTTCAAGAAATAAGCAACCTCCTATTAATAGCAACAGAGATTTTGCCAGTTGAGTGAGTGAGGTCCTACCAGTTCGTAGGGTTGCAGTCATACCACGTCAAGGTGATGATGGAAACACAAGAAAGTATGACAGGATTCCCTTTAGTTATTTAGAATGGAAAAGGTCTCAGTACCTGAAATGCTTTATTGTTGGGCATGGATCTGTTTCGCATCTCTTGTAAACCACTTCAGCTTCAGACGTAAGTACTGGAATACTATTGAGAGAATATTAGAGAAAGCCGATTTTAGAGTTTTCTGGCTAATAAATCGTTGGAGCACTTAATGGTATTAAGTTAATGTGTGTGTTGCTTTTAAGTAGAGTTTTTTCATACTACTCAAGCAGTAAATGTGTTATGAATATAACAGTGGGGGATATGCTCATCCTTGCTTTGTTTGAAACCAAGATGAACATTATCCCTTGCTCACATGATGCCGTTGTACTGAAATGCCTAGACAGTGTTGCCTCTAAGAGATTTATATTCCGTGGAAGAATTGTTTCCTTCATTCCCAAGTGTCTGACCCCTTATGTGATTTGATTTTCAAATAGGACTGTAATTTGGGACAAGAACAACATCACTGCTCAAGGCTTTCAAGATATAGCTGTTGCTATGGAAAAGTAAGTTTTAATTAGGATTTTTTTCTGGAAGTCTGGAAAAATACGAGAGAACCAGCAGTCTCTATGTTATCTGTGGGGTAGTAGAAGTAGCAATAGATTGGGAACCAGGAAATCTGGGTCTGAGCATAATCTACTGCTTACCAGCCACAGGACCTTGGCAGACATTGAATTTCTTCTGGTGTGAGTTTCCTTATCTATAAAATGGGACCTCGGCTGCTAACGAAAAGGTTAGCAGTTCAAATCCACCAGCCACTCCTTGGAAACCCTATGAGCAGTTCTACTCTGTCTTGTAGGGTTGCTATGAGTTGGAATCAACTCGACAGCAACAAGTTTGGTTTTTTGGGTTTAAAATGGGGGGCAGAAATACCTGTCCTGCTAAAGATACTGTACTGTCCTGGAGGTCTCACTTCATCTCACAGTCCAGTGTGACGGTTGCCTTATTCCCCCTACTCTGTAGTTTCACAGTCTATTTTCATGGGTCTTGCTTTTTCCCCCATGATGACAACTTTGAATCCACTGGTGAGAAGAAAGCTGGGATCCAGAAAGTAAAATCGAAATTGAGAAATGGTAAGCTCAGGGCTAACTTATATTACTATCGTAAAGGGCTTTTTCTAGTACCTCAGTAACTAAGGTCTGCAGTTATTATTTATGGTTAAATTTACTTTTCTCAGGTTTTCCAAAAAGCCAATAAAAGAAATGAGAAAATAATAATACTTTACATGGGTGAAAACAATACTAGGAATCTGATTCTTTCTAATCTTTTCAACGCTCACATTGTATTATATGGAGCCCTGGTAGTGCAGTGGTTAAGAGCTCATGCTGCTAACCAAAAGGTCAGCAGTTCAGATCCACCAGCTGCTCCTTGGAAACCCTGTAGGGTAGTTCTGCTCTGTCCTTTAGGGTCACTATGAGTCGGAGTTGACTCAATAGCAATGGTTTATTGTATCATATAAAGGTAGAAATGGTGAAGCAGATTGAAAGCATTAAAAATGAGAGATTATAAAATGTGAGTGAGGAATAATAGCATAGAAGACAATTCCCTGGGGCAGGGGAGGAAGTGCTTATTATTTTGTGTTTTCCTAGATTTCCCTCCGTACACGAGGCCTCCTAGGAGAAGCTTCTACGCCCAACCTGGTGTCATGGACACAACCCTGGACCAAGCATTAGGGACCCTCCATTCAGTTCCCAGCTGTGTCACCAATAAGCCTATGATCTTGATCATAGCATCTTACCTCTCTGATTAATTCTTTCATAATATGAGCAAACTGGAAATTATTCTTAAGTGCTTTTCGGTTCTACATCCCGTGTTTCTACTTTAGCCAAAAGGTTAAAAAGTGCTGCCCACCACAACATCAGAAAGGCTTAGCCCCTGAGTTCTTTCTCCTCTATCCTGACCCCAGGCCACAGCTAAACATGGGAGAGTCAGCTTGCACCACTCAGTCCCCGCAGCTACTGCTCCCAGGAACCTTCTGTGACTGTAGACACACCTGTGATTGCTCCTATTGCAACTCAGAACCCCTAAATGGGAACATTTATTTGAAAATAGCTGCATTTTGATACTAATGGTACAGTTGCCACCCTGACTTTGTAAACCGCCAGCCCAGACCTGGGAAGCTGAGAGCATGCGTACCCAATACTCATCATTTCCAGATTGATGGTGGGCCACCTAGATCCTAGTTTATTATGAACATTGTGCTCCAAGATGCCAAAACAGTTCAAAATCACATTTAGTTTAAATAAAAGATGCTGGTGTTTACCATGATAAAAACCGGATTAAACAAACAAAAAACCAAACCCGTTACCGGCGAGTTAGTTCCGACTCATAGCAACCCTTTAGGACAGAGTAGAACTGCCCCATAGGGTTTCCAGGGAGCAGCTGGTGGATTGGAACTGCTGACCTTTTGGTTAGCAGCCAAGCTCTTAACCACTGCGCTACCAGGGCTCCAAAAATTGGATAAAGGAAAGGAAAATGTTCAAGGCTATAAAAAAAGACATATCGTCTCTTAGTTTCAGTTGGCTGGTTTCTTTAAGCCAAACAAAAGCAATTTTGCTGAAATAAAGCTAAGTTAAAAGCTAAAGTTATAGAAATATAACTTTATAGAATGTGTGTGTGTATAATATGTAGAAATATGATACATTTTAGTGTATGAATATGTTGCATTAAGACCAATTTACAGAGTGGCTTAATACAAAATATCCGAAGTGTTATATTTCTACATATTATACACACAATAAGTTGGTCTGGATGATTACTTTTTCATTAGATAATACCCATCTAGATTACTGCTGTAATTAAGATGATTGTTAGTTTTCTTCATTAATACTTTATTTTGGGAGTTAGTTGTCAATCTACTCTTTCAGTAAAAGTTATCTAAATATCCACGATAATCACATTGTGAGTGCTGCTTATTGTTTAGAGACCTAAAATAAGCCAGCTGACTCAGTGATTCTAGTGCAAATCCTAGTGAGGATGCCACAGTTGCCACCCAGTGACCAAAAAGGTTATTCTTGCTGAGTGCCATGTTGTAGAAATGGACAGATGGATTTTGGAGTAGGAGAGAGGAGACATCTCCAATGTTGGAGTTTGCAGTAGAAGAGCAGGTGGTATGGGGTCATCTGGGCATATGACTAAGTTTGTAGCAGGGTCAGGACCAAAGGCTGGGGTCCAGATTCAGTTTTTCTTACACAAATGACTGGCCCCTGCACTCTTCTGTCTAATCAGCTGGTCAGCAGTGGTGAGGTAATGTATGGACACAACACCCCACGTTGCTTCATTTGGTTTCTAGAGCCTGTTGAACCCAGGTGCTGACCTTCATGCAAACTGAAAGGACTTACAGGCATCAGTTGTGTTTAGCCAGGCAGGAAACAGTTTGCTAGCAGCTTTTCTAAAGACAGTCCACTTATTTATTTAATGGAGCCCAGAGACTGAACAGATTATTTCTGTGGATGTCAGTGGTCTTGCTTCGGAAGCAAAGATTTTGTTTTTCATTTTTCCTCTACCTGTTTGGGTCTGGCGAACACTCGTAATGCCTGTGGTGATCTAGGTATATTCAGATCTTTTGGCTTCTAAGACACAAGTAGCAAGTTGATGTGGACTTTTTTCTAGACTTGGTTCTACTGTCTCTCAGTCTGTATGTTTAGCCCCAATGTAAAAATTCTGTCCTGAATGTAATCCAAAGTCAAAAACAGAAAAAAAACCCACATTCTTCAAAGTTGTGTTGGTTTTGTTAGACAGCATGCATTAATGAGGTTGTCGATGGTGCTGCACGTGTGGATATTGAAGAAGACTGATGGTCTGGTGATTTAGAATTTCTTACGCTACTCTTAGAAAGCAACTTTTTTTTTTTTTTAAGATTGCTGAATTAAAGTTAATAGTAGGAAGTTATTTTTAAATAAATGTATTATTTTCTCCTTCCACCTAGGAACTACACATTGAGATTTATGCCAATTCCTATGTATGATGCTTCTCAAGCCCTAAAAACAAACCCTGAAAAAACAGAAGAGGCTCTACAGAAGGTAATGAAGAATTAATTACAATAAATTTCCCACTTGAAGTGAATTGTGTTAATAATAATTCTGAATGTCTGAATAGTACTTTGTATTTGCAAAACTTTTTCTCGCATTATCTTGTATTCTTATGATCATGACTGGCATAATGCTGACTTCGGGTGGAAGAAAATAAGGAAGACTAAAACTTGTCATAGAATTTAAGTAGAATAAAGTAACATTCTCACAACCTCTACATTCCAGAGTTTAAGCATAGGTAACTTCCCGATCATCCTTTGGAGCATGTGTGGAACTGAATGTCAACTTGTGTAACCTCTGTCCCCTCCATTAGCAATGGATAGAACCTTGTACACTTTCTCATCAAGAAATTTAGGTTCTTATTGGTATCTCCTGCCACAATTTTTGTCTATAAATATATATAATCCCATACCCATTCCCACTTCCTTCTGGCGAACCTAGAAGATGATGGGTCCCTCCCCCTTCAAGCCCAACCATCCACTGGTGCTTTTGGCCCCACCATCTCTGCCCTGGTGAGGGCTGAAAACTTGCCCTGTGAGCCATTCCTCCGGTCTCCCATATTTTCATCCTTCTCTTACTATGGCTAGCTTTCTTTCTGTTTTTAGACATGCCCTAATATTTCCCATCCAAAGATACACTAACAAGTACATTTGCATTTCCTATTATTATCAGCAACCATTGAAATCTTTCCTCCTGCTTTGTTCCATCTCTTCTGGTGGTACCAAGCTTGATCCAATCTCCTAAGCTTCACTTTCCTTTCCCATATCCACCTTAGCCAGTCAGTCACCAAGCCTACCAGTTCTATGCACAGACCTTTAAATTAGCTTTCTTCTCCTTTATTCCTATTATAGATGCCTTAGTTCAAGCCTTATCGTCTCTCACCAGGATTATTACCACATCCTCCCTAACTGGCACCTACCCTTTTTTTTGATACTTCCATTTATTTTACTTTTAGTAATAAATTTTTTTTCTATCTCATACACGATTGAACACATATTTTGCTTTAAAATTAACAGCCACAATTAAAGAAACAATGGTTTATTTTTCTAAGCAAGTGACTAAGCTGCTGAATCTTAAGGCCTCAACAAATTTTACATCTTCTTATTTTCATTGAATAACAAGAACTTCCATTTGATTATTCCTGGTATACTGCAATTTTGTTTCTTCAGTAGTTTCAAATTGCCAAACAGTCAAAACAGACAATTTAACTTGGTGAGCTTTGCTTTCAGGGGATTCTATCAAATGAATTCTCATTTACAGTGCAACACCTATCGCCAATATTACATAAAAAGTCCATCCATCAGGACTTCTCTATCGTGGTTGGCCAAGGAGTCCTGCTTTGGCTACCAGAGCTTCATTCTGCTGAATATGATATTCCTGAAATCTCATGGATATTCTTAGCATGTTTTTTAAATATTTCTGTAAGCAGTGTTCTGAACAGGTTATCTGTTCAGGTTTAACTTCTCTTGCTGTGAAGTCTTTAACACAGTCCAAAGAGCAGGTTTCTCTAAGTTTATTATAGGTTCCAAAAATTCCTTAAACTTTTTTATCTGATCAGATTCTGATATGTGTGCAGCTATATTCTTTTGGTATGGTTATTAGTCACCTTTTCTGATGCATGAGTTTCTTTCCTGTTATGGAATAGTGGTCGTCCAACCTTTTCTTGAATGTCTCCGGTGAGGCCTGAGTTCTTACTTAAGCACAGGCTCTTGCATTTGACACCTGCACAAGGCCCGGGGGGCTGTGCTGCCAGTTGAGTCTGGGTGCAGAGGGCCGGGGTCCGGGCAGGTGCCACAGCTGCTGGGTGGGAGAGAACACCAGCAGCACCTACTCTTACCTCCTCTTGTTCGCTTTCTATGCTGCAGTCAAAAATGCCACCTTATGTTGTAAATCTGAACAGACTAAAACCTTCAGTCTACCCTCTCCAGTGGCTTTCGGGATAAAACCTAGTCTCCTTAACATGACATGAAATTCTTTCCAGGATCTGCCTCCTATCCACTTCCTACTTCATCTCTTGCCACCCCTTACTCTTCATTTTGCTCCACCTAGGGAACTTGTTAGAAATGCAGATTCTCGGGCCCCAGACACTGGAGATAGAATTCAGCAATTTGTGTTTTCACAAACTCTCCTAGTGAATGTGAAGTTTGAGAATGACTGCCCTAGTCTAGACCATACTCATGCTTTCTTCCCATGCATGTCTGTTGACTTTAATTCAAGTGTAAGCTCATGAGAAGAAAGTATCCTCAGAGTCTCCTTCCGTACTAGGTGGTTGTTCTTCCAAAGATTTCCTGTCATTGGCCTTGTGACATTGTTTTAAGTTACCTGACTCCTTGTCTTTGTCCGCCACTGGACTGGGAGCTCCTTGAAGGCAGAGCCTATGTATTTTTATTTATTTTTTTATTCCCAACAGCTAGCATTGTGCCTGGCATGCATGTTTCGGTACCCCATAGACATTTGTTGAATAAAGGAGAGTAAGATTTTGGGGGTCTGCTGTGATGTGGTGAAAAAATCATCCAAGATTTGGATTCATAAGATCTGACTTCAAATCCAACTCTTCCCAACTTTGTAACCGTCAATAAATTACTTACTGTTATGGATTGATTGTGTCTCCCAAAAATATGTGTTGAATTCCTGGTTCTTGTACCTGTGGATGTGATCCTGTTTGCAAATAGGGTTTTTCTTTTGTTATGTTTAATGAGGCAATGCCAGTATAGGGTGGGTCTTAAACTTAATCACTTCTGAGTTGTAAAAAGACCAGAATAGACCCAGAGACACACTCAGGGTGAAGACAGGTACTGTGTGAGGATTGTGTACGAGCAAAGAAATGTCAGCAGTCGCCAGAAACTAGGAGAGAGGCTTATAGAAGAAATTGACATGGCTGAGACCCTGCTTTGGATTTTACCCTCCAGAACTATGAGAAATAAATTTCTCTTCTTTAATACCACCTACTTGTGGTATTTCTGTTATGGCAGCACCAGGTAATTGAGACGCTTTTTTTGAACTTTAGTTTCCTCATCTATATAAATAGGAATAATAAAACTATATAACTAGGTTTAGATAACATTTAATGTATAATTCTTACTGGGTACCTGGTACTGTTTTAAATGCTTTATATAAATTAGCACATTTAATCTTTAAAACAAACTCATAAGGTAGGTTCTATTATTATCCCCATTTTACAGATAAGGAAGCTAAAGAATATGGAGGCTAAGTATTTTGCCTAAGGTGGCTCTGAGGATCAAATGAGGTAGTATATGTGAAAAGCAGTTTGTAAACCATAAAGCAATATGCAAATGTTAGATACCTTTATACTTTTTAAAAGAATGTTAGTCAGCGTACAACAAAAACTTATTCTAGAGAAACCAGGCTTCACGTTTCAGTTCCATTATGTAAAGAGCTTAGAAGTCATCACTCCTGTCCTCACTAAAAGAAAGGGGGAAAAAAAACTGAACAAATGGAAAAACAACAACTTTTCTTAGCTCCCTCAGAGAATTGAGGTATCAGGGCAAACCACAACCCCAAAAACTGGACAGACAGGTAAATCAGAGAATTACAGCCAAGATCAACTAGCCAGAAGTAGAAGCCACTGGAGCTAGTAACTGGTAGGACTACTTAAATGGTAATTGATGAATTTCTAGAGGTTGAGGTGGACTAGCTTGAGCGTTAAATACTCCTACGGCCCAGTCTTGGGTGACCCCCTGCACTCTCATCGGTTTTTACCTCTCCAGGAGTCTTACCCAGTTCTCAATGTGAAGATCAGAGAAAAATCTCCTCGTGCTTGTGGCAGGGGGAAGAGATAATCATTTTTAAATACGCTTCGGGGAAAAGTAACTGTTTTGAAATATGCCAGAGCATTCTGGGTAAGAAAGGCCTGCCCTCAAGAGAAGCTACTTTGTCAGGGCCTTATCTGACCTGGCAGAGGGTGGTTAGACAACTGCAGCCCCCTATAACCTTTCTGTCTTATATACAGGGAAGAAAGAAAGAAAGAAAGAAAAAAAAAAGACTAAGAAACACTTTTCAAGTTCAAAGCCTATGGACTCAGAGCCACTAAAAAACTGAAATGAAAACTGACAAACATTTAATCTAAAATATTTCCCTTTAACACCTTACCACCATATCAGCAGGGCTCTAGTATAATACTACCAGATTACAACTACGAGAGCTGTATGACACAGACTCTACTTAAGAAAGAGTTCTTAGGGAAATCCAGAGACAACCAAGGAGAAAACAAAAACAAGGGAACTAGAGAAAATTAAATCCTCTGGCACCTACAGCTACAGCAAATATTAACCACAGCCCACCTCCTAGTCAGATTAACATAAAACCTCACACTAGAAGCCTGATTCCCTCAGTCCCTGGCTTTCAACAAAAAATTGCATGGCAAGTGAAAAAGCAAGAAAAAAACATAGTCTAAAGAGACAAATATCAAAACTAGACTCAAATAGTAGCATGGATTTTGGAATTATCAGATTTACAATTTAAAATAACTGGTTAATATATTAAAAACTGATGGAAATAGTAGACAGCATGTAAGAATAAATGGGTAATGGAAGCAGAGAGATGGAAACTTTAAGAAAAAATCAAAAGGATTGATAGAAATAAAAAAAAAACCTGTAACAGGCTCATCTGTAGACTGGACAGGGCTGAGGAAGGAATCAGTGAACTTGAAGATGGGTCAATAGAAGCTTTCCAAACTGAAATGTGAAGAGGAAAAAAATAGGGGGGAAAGGGAACATAATATTCAAGAGCTGTGGGACAATTACAAAAGAAGAAACATGCATAATAGGAATACCAAAAGGAGACAAAAGAGAGAAAGGAGCAGAAGAAATAAAATATTTTGTGATACTATGCCTGAGAATTTTCCAAAATTAATGACAGACACGAGACCACAGATCTGGAAAGCTCAGAGAACACCAAGCAGGGTAAATACCAAAAAAAGGTATACCTAAGCATATCATATTTAAACTGCAGAAAATCAAGGATACAGAAGAAAATCTTGAAAGAAGCCAGAGGGGAGAAAATTACTTACAGAGGAACAAGGGTAAGCATTACAGTGACTTCTTATTAGAAACCAAGTGAGCAAGAAGAGAGTGGAGTGAAAGTGCTGCAGTGTTGAAAGAAAAAATAAACACGAACCTAGAATTTTATGTCCTGCAAAGACAAACAAAACAACCAAAGCCATTGCTATAGAGTCAGCAAAATTATCCTTCAAAAAGTGAAGGAGAACTAAAGACTTTCTCAGACAAACAAAAACTGCGGGAATTTTTTGCCAGTGGACTTGTCATGCAGGAAATACTAAAAGAAGTTCTTCAGAGAGAAAGAAAATAGATTAAAAACTCAGATCTATACAAAGAAAAGGAAGAGAATTAGCAAAGGAGTAACTGAAGGTAAAATAAAATCATTTAGTTTTCTTATTTTTAATTAATCTAATACATACCTGTTTTGTCAGAGGAATAATAGCAACAATGTATTAGGTGATTATAGCATATGGGTAAGTGAAGTTAATGGAGCAATGTTATAAGGGTCTCTCAGGAGGGTGGAATTAGGAATACTCTAAAGTATCTATGCTACCTGTGAAGCAGTATATTGTTATTTGAAAGTAGACTTAAGATTAGTTGTAATGTATATTGCAAACTCTAGGGTAACCACTAAAATTTTTAAAAAGAAGTATAATTATCTAAAGAAGAGAAAATGGAATCATAAAAAAATGCTCAAGTAAAACCAGAGAAGGTAGAAAAAGAGGGGAAGAAAAAAAACAAAGAAGAAGAAAAGAACAATGCAACAAATAGGAAACTGTTATAAACATGGTAGATATTAAGCCAATATATCAAAGCTTATTCTATAGATCAGAAAACTAAAAATAGAGATAGGATCTAGGGATAAGGGCAAAGAGGATACAAACATTAATTATTGAATTTGTGGATTTTTAATAAAAAATGAGTGACTTTAAAGCTCATCCTTATTGGTTAGTCTTAAAATATTTATTATGCTTTTATACATTCAAGTTTTCATTTTAATGGATAGAGCTCTGGCCTCTGGAAGAAATATGGCTCTTTATTTTTGCGATTCCATACTCAGTCTTTATAAGTTTTTTATTTTTAAATACAGGTTATCAAGATTTTTGCTACTTGTGCTATGAGAGTGGAGATGTCTAACTGGCTCTAGAATTTCTCCCAGATCGCTATCTACTGCCCAGAGATGCCAGGGAACTTGATAATGACCTTTTTGTCCTTTCCATTCCATTTGACCTTACTCTGGCAATCAGGCGTTAGCACCCAGGAGGTGCGTTCACTGTCCTTGGTCAGTAATGACACATGGAAGGAAAGTTTACTCTGCTAACCCAAGATATAAATAATTTCAGTGGTAATGTATACATGACTGATATTAAAGACACTTGAACAATGTTATTCTTCCTTCCCCTCGAGCTGATTTTTAGCAAAGAGCTTTGAATGTTGTTTTTCTAACAAATTCCTTCTAGGTTTAGTCTGTGAAGCTTGGTGCACCTGGAAAAAGGTCTTTAATGTGCAGGCCAACCTTGGATGCGCCTTTTTTGTGCCAGAGCTGAGAGCCTCCTGAATAAACAAATTGCTCTCAGAACCACGTGACAGCCGACAAAAGTAAAAGAATGAATAACAAAACAAAAGGACCCAAAGCTGGGTGACAGTGTGTACCTGTGGTATTTCAGGGCAAGGATCTTTCTAGGTAAAGCATTTTACATTGATGGTAATATCACCTTGGGAAGAGATGACTTCTCAGGGAACAGCAAGAGAAAGTTAATGTAATATAATGTCATGACATTAATGTATCGCTTTAATAATGTTTCATTTCAAGGATCTTTTCGTTTTTATAATTACTTCATTTATGTTTGATAGAAAAGTACATTTTGTTCTGCTTTATAGTTCCTAGACATGATAGTAATTATAGTCTGTATTTTAATTGTTCCTAATTGGTATTAAGTAGTAGACACTTTAGCATATGGAAAATTAAAATGAAAATGTAATAATACTGAGAGCTTGACAGTTATTAGAAGTTCTTAACTAGGGAACCATAGTGATAAATTAAAAGCCAGATGGTTAAGTGGTATTATTAAACACACACACATATAACTGAAGAAAAAACAACCACCACGGATGGCATAATTTATCCATCTCAAATCATTTTTAAAAAAAAAATCTTCAAAGATATTCACATTTCCAGTGGTTAACTGTATATTTTTTGTTCAGTATATATCCAAATGCATATTATTCATTCTTAATGCTTTATTTCAATCTATTATTTATACTTTTGAGTTTTTCATAGGGGATTTTCTTTGTATAAAAACAGTTTATCAAACAACTTCAAGATTTCCCATTTTCTGTGGAAATTCACTTTCTTACTTGCCGTAATTTGCTAAAATTAGGTCCTGTTTTTTGAAAAAAAAAAAAAAGAGAAAATCTGATGAATTAATAACATTAGTATATGTCTTTGAATAGTACCAGCCTGTTTCCTTCAAATTTTTTAGCTGTTTTATCTTCCCTCCTGCTTAAAATAAAGAATTTTTCCAAGTGCTAGTGGATTCTACTACTGGAGTAAGTCTAACACGGTTGCAGAGTAGCATCTGTACACCTTGGGGATATTTATTTAACCTGAACTGTGCAGTCGGTAAACATTCATGAGAGAGAAGGATTGAGATTGTGTGTAAGAGAGTTATGAAAAGTCACTAAATGCGGTCTATAACCCTGGAGGCAATTAATCATTGGCTTATCTTTGTCAGCTACTGAGTCACATAGAAATTACTGCATTTACTTACAAGTTAAATTTCTAACTAAAACCCCAATAATAAATCACAACGCTGGCCTGTCCCCATTCCCCATGTCTTGTAAGTCAAGGCATGGGCAGGCTGTGTGTATTAGTGCTTGCATTATAAGTTCAGCAGCTGGCTATTTCACTTGTAACTATATTATCTACTGAATTTCAATGCTTTCTTGAAAGATACATGTGCTTCATTTCCAGATAGAGAACTATCTTCTCCGGAATCACGAGACTAGAAAATATCTTCAAGAGCAGGCCTACCGCCTACAGCAGGGCATCGTCACCAGCACCACACAGCAGGTAAGAGCACCAGGGTTCCCCTTCCACTCCCTCTTAGCTGAGATCCTTCTAAGAGCAAAGGACCTCAACACTGGAATCATTCACAATGGGGCAATAAAAGCTGATTTCTGAAAACGACAACAGATGTAAATAGATTTCAGGGAGAGAGATTGAGGGAAATGTAGACCAACTGTAATGATAAATAGGCACTTTTAATTATTGATGGCTTTGTGCCTTTTAAGATTAACAGTGAGGTCTACCTTAGATTTATATACAAATACTAAAAACCAAGAAAACCAAACCTCTTGCCGTGGAGTCCATTCAGACTCCTAGTGACCCTACAGGACAGAGTAGAACTGCCCACTAGGGTTTCCAAGGAGCGGCTGATGGATTTGAACTGCCGACCTTTTATCTAGCAGCCGAGCTCTTAACCACTGCACCACCAGGCCTCCATACAAATATTAGGAACCCACAAATACAGATAATAAAATCTAAGGGTAATCAAACTGGCTGCTTTGGAGGCATTCTGTTCCTTTCTCTCTACTCCTGCACTTCCATGAGTAAACCAAAAAAACCAAACCCATTACCATTGAGTCGATTCTGACTCATTGTGACCGTATAGGTCAAAAGAGAACTTTCCCATAGGGTTTCCAAGGAATGGCTGGTGGATTCGAACCGCTGACCTTTTGGTTAGCAGAAATTTCCAGATTTTTCTGAATAATGAAGAGTTGTTGAATAGTAATTAATATTTAAGTGCTGAAGAGAAACTGAGGTGCTTTTCTCTTTTACCTCATTCTCCTTTCTACTTAACTTTAGAGAAGGGGGAACAAAGAGAATTATAACTTAAAAAAAAGTGTAGAAATTTTCCCTTTAAAAATATAAACCAAAACCAAGGATCATAAGATATTTGAGGAAAACTAACAGCATGTCAAAGAAAGACTAAGATAAACAAAAGAACTAAGCCCAGATAATTCAGAGTACAACCGAGGATTTATTTTTAAAATTCTGATTTTTAAGTTCAGTGGGATTTGAGAGACTATTATGTCCATAAAATAAGAATAGACAGCTATGAAAAGGAGTAGAGAACAGAAAATAATGGTTAACAATTAAAAATATGATTACTGAAATATAAGATTAAATAAACTGATAGTAGAAAAACTAAGCAGTTTCTCTGGAGGGAAAAAACAAGGAAATCTCTATAGCATGTAGTGAAAAGACAAAGACATGAAAAATATGAGAGAAAAGTAAATTAACATAGCAACTAGATTCAAAATGACGATCATCCTTTTAATAGGAGCTTCAAAATTAAAAAACAATATGATATAGTATATAGCATAGTATAATGTATGGAAAACCATATTCCAGCAGTCTTCGGGTTGGTATGGCCCATCAAAAGTAATCAGTGTGAGCCACTCTCAGAGGCTACCTTTCAACCAAATAATAGACTAGCCTATAAAATTAACAATAACACTCATGAGGAATGTGCTTCTTAGGACTATCAACTATATGAGACCAAAAGGGCAACATTTGCCCAAAAGCAAAGATGAGAAGGCAGAGAGGGGCAGCGAAACTGGACAAATAGAATTGGGGAACCCAGGGTGGAAATGGGGAAAGTGCTGACATATTGTGGGGATTGCAACCAATGTCACGGAAAAATTTGTGTATCAGTTATTGAATGGGAAACTAGTTTACTGTATAAACTTTCACCTAAAGGACAATAAAATGTTCAAAGAAAATTAATCAGAATGGATGCGATAAAGACCCACACCTAGCCAAATCCTGGTGAAATTTCAGAACACTTAGGATAAAGAAGAAAATCTTGAGAGAATAAATGGCTGTTTTACAAGGGAACAAACACCAATTCTTAGCACCAATCTCAATTACTAGAAGAAAACATACTGTCATCAAAGTTCAGAGGTGGATTTATTTTGGACAAAGAATGCTATACTTAGCCATTCCGTTAATCAGATTTGAGGACAGAATAACAACATTTTCAGATGTGGACTTAGAAATTTTACTCCACATGCCATATGAAAAAGTTACTTGAGAAAAGTCTCCAGCCTAATATATAAGTAAAAAAACTATAGCAGAAAAGAAATCATAGAAGAAGCTATAAAAGCTGAAATAATGTTTAAAAAATTGCTACTTTGGGACAATCTACTTCATGTTGTCGTTAGGTGCCATTGAGTCGGTTCCAACTCGTAGTGATCCTAGAACGAAAGGTTGCCCAGTCCTGCACCATCCTCACAATATTTGCTATGTTTAAGCCCATCGTTGCAGCCACTGTGATGTTTCTTTCTATGTGGCTCCTATAATCATAACTTTGTAACTGCCCGTTAGAGGGTTTAAAATATTAATGTCAACTTAAACAAGATGGGAAGACTTTATTGTTACATGGAAGAATGTAAATGTTGAATATCCTGGTAATGTAAAAATAATGAAACTAACTAAAATTAGGAATTGAGAGGAGAAAGTTGAGTGGTAGTATAAGTATTCTAAATTTTTAGTTTTTATTTCATGGGGTCTACTGCTATTTTCTAGAATTCATTAATTAAAAAAAAGGATAAATCTATTTACATTTAAAATTTACATCATCAGAAGAATTAAAAAATTAGAACGTTTTCAAAAGGGTTTATGGCTGCACATGGAGAAGAACTGAGTGGTTGGGAAATGTTTATCATTTTTTTTTTTTCCCTGCTGAGACAGACCAATGTCCCACAACTGAAGGTTGTGATTTTTTTTTTTTTAATTGTATTTCAGGTGAAAGCTTACAGAACAAATAGTTTTTCATGAAACAGTAGTACGCATATTGTTTTATGACATTGGTTAACAACCCCATGACATGTCAACACTCCCTTCTCTACCTTTTTTTTTTGATGAAAAAATACATAGCGAAAGATGAACCATTTCAAAAATTTCTGCATGCACAGTTCATTGACATTGATTACGCTCTTCCAGTTGTGCTGCTATTCTCACTTAGGTGAAGGCTTACAGAACAAAATAGTTTCTCATTTAACAGTACACATGTTGCCCTGTGGCAATGATTAACAACCTCACAACACATCAACACTATCCTTACTCAGCCTTGGGTTCCCTATCACCAGCTTCCTTGTCCCCTTCTGCCTTCTGGCCCTTGTCACTGGACTGCTCTACCTCATTAGTCCCATTTGGTTTTATGGGGCTGTCCACTCCCAGGCTGAATGGTGAACCTCAGAAGTGACTTCACCACTGAGCTAAAAGGGTGTCTGGAGGCCATACTCTCGGGGTTTCTCCAGTCTCCTTTAGGCCAGTAAATCTGGTCTTTTTTTTTGTAAGTTAGAATTGTGTTCTACATCCTTCTCCAGCTCTGTCCAGAACCCTCTGTTGTGATCCTGGTCAGAGCAGTCAGTGGTGGTAGCCAGGCACCATCTAGCTG